TCCCCGCCGTCTGCACCCCTCGACCCTAGAGGCCGACCCGCGGGCGCGCCATGGCCACGCTGCCGAGCGCAGAGCGCCGCGCGTTCGTGCTCAAGATCAACAGGTAAGATGCGCCAGGGCCGCCTCCCACCCCGCCCGCCTGCGCCGCCCTCACAGGGTTCTGACAGGTGGCGGGACTGGGAGTGTGAAGGGCGTAGGGGTAGCAGGTCCCGGCTTTTCTCACCAAATGCGCCTTATTTAGACGCTGCTCTGCGACGGGGCGAGTGAAGAAGGAGCTGAAATGAGAGGTTTGCTCTGAGGCAGCGGCTTTAAGACTTCACTTGTCCTGAGTAGGACTCTTGCCCCTCTCGTTTTATTTTTCCAGAAAAAGTTTGGCTCCTGCTGACATGGCTATTTTTATTCCCTGGCCCAAAGAAGCTATGAAGTGGAAAAAGTAATTTTTAAAATTCTCCATTTAAATAAACAAAAGGAGTGGCCTGTGGTTGGCATTTTTACATTTACAGCGCTCCAGCAAAGCACATGGATCCAGCACTCGCCATCCCATTCATAGTCACTGTTGTACCAACTAAATTCGAGCACATTTGCGGCTCCAAGTTCTCACCAGAGGTGCTTTAACTGCAGTTTTTCCACCACTGAAAACTGCTGACAAGTGTTTGGAGACATTTTTGTCTTGTCTTAAGAAATCTAGACTGTCTGGTTAAAAGATAATATGAAACTCGTCCTGAAGGATCAACTTATTATTCTACTGCCCTCACTGCGCTAGGATTCGTTAGTCTTTTAGCTGAGCCTTTGAAAGGCTGGTTTCATAGGAAATTTATGGGCTGCTAGTGTGTGAAGAGGTTTGAGAGAAGGAACTAGAAGTCCAGAATAAAAGAGGCAGTAAGGACTTCCAGAGGGCATATTGAGCTTTATAGGCAATTTTATTTCTACCTGCACTGTAGCTGTGAGCAAACCATTTCTCTTACCTATTTCTTCATCTTTAAAATGATTTTAATTATTAATGCGTACTGTATATTGATGTTGGAGGTCAAAAGGTATAAGGTACATCAGTGATCTCCCTATGGGGATTTTTTTCTGCATTATGTTTCACAGGAGGGGCGATTCATTTGGCGATTATGGGGGTCAAATGAAGTTACTGATGTATGTACCACTTGTCATAGCTGCTGTTCCTCCATCCTTGTGAATTTGAGGTCAGGAAGTGTGACCCAGGCAGAAAAAGACTGTGGGTTGGATGAAGTTAATCTAGAGAGAGCAGCAGGACCTGAACTCATCCTGTAGGCATTCTTGAAAACAGCAGTGAGACTGGTGTGGCCTGGCTGGAATCAGATCTGCTTGCAGATGAGCTCTCTCTTACAAGCTAACTAAGTGACAATGGATATGTTATTTAACCTCTCTGAACTTGGGTTTCTTTATATTTCAAATGATCATAGTACCTATCTTTTATTACTGTCAGGAAGATTAAGTGAAATAGTATGTGCTTGTAGTGCCTGGTTCAGAATAGATGTTAGTTATCCTCATCAGCATTACTATCAACTTCATCATTGTCATCATCATCTCTATTATCACTTCTTTGAGATCCTAAGAAAGAAAGGTAGGAAGAAAAGCTGACCTTGGAGAACTTTACATACAGAGACCAGTTTGGGTTGGGTATGGTGATGCCCGTGTCTGGTTGGATCTGCCTTGGGGTGGATGTTCTCCCTCATATACTGTCTATCTCTGTGCTGAGAATATCAAACACACCCAGTGGCACAGAATGAGTGATACCATCTGACCAAGAAGAGCCCCGCTCAAGTTAAATAAAATATAAAAGTTTTCCTAATTCTCAGGCAATAATAAAGACTGAGTGATCCTATTTTGGGGGTTCTTTTTCCCTTTTGAACATTTTGTGTATGGGGTCGAAGAGCTGTGCTAAGGAGGTTGGCATAACTTATTGTTTAAAGGAGTGGATTAATAAGGATATACCTAGTATTTAAATAATATTAAAACTCACCATTTATTGATCACTTACCATGCCCCAGACTCTGCATTACATTTTTAATGGGTTATATCACTAAATCCTTACAAAAATCTTATAAGATTCACATGAAGCCTCAGGTAGAATAGGAAAATGAAGCTTGGAGATGTAGTTGCAGAAGGCCATGCAGTTTTTGCAAGGCCACACAAGCAGAAGTGGTAGAGCTAGGATTACAAACTGCCCCCAAAACTGTGCTCTTAATTGGCCATGAGCTATTTTGATCCATGTATCTCAAGAATTTCCTTTAAAAGCAAGAGGGAGTTAATTTAAAAAAAAAATCATTTCAGTAGCAGCATTGGCAAATTGTTCTGTATTCTGGTCAGTGTTTAATATCTAAACAAACTAACTGATATTTTGCAATTTTACAGCTGAAAAAGAAAATGTTTTCCCTCGAATGCCTACATATTATTTTTTTTAAACAGATCAACTTACAAAAAGTAAGACAGTGTTGAAATATGGCCATCAGTACACTCAACATGGGTTCATGTTTTCTCACCTTTCTACTCAGAATAATACACGCTATCCCCTAAAAATGTTTATGGAGTAAAATTAATATGCTTCCTATTGAGGAAATGTTGAAATCTCATGTATTAAAATTTTTATTTGTAAAGAACCTCAAGAAAGAGTGAACAAACAGACTTACCTCATAGTAGGAAAAGAATGTCCCCACAGTTCTCAAATTTTGTGGCTTCTTGCAAGCAGCATTGCCCAGTACAGGGACAGGGCCAAAGTGAAGGAGGAACCTGGGAATGCCCATCAATGCCCATTCCCCCACGATTGCCCTAGCTCTCTCATGCTCTTATGAAGCCTAAATTTTCATGTGTTGAAAATCATCATATAAGACTTTTGTTTTAAGCACTAAGTAATTGTATGACTTTTTACATTTAACCATTTCTCTAGAACCCACAGCTCAGGGAGATATAAGAGAAAAAAATCCACCATTGACTTTTTCTGAGCTGGAAGAACAAAATTTAATTTCTTATAAATGGTATATACTTGTCCTTATTTCAGTTTAATTGATACTGACTTCCTGTGCCCAAAGACTAGATCTGAATTAGGCCATTCATAATAATGTTTGCATTTGGGATTTCAGGCACTGCTGCATTAGATGTCATAATACAGTTTTTGTGTGAGCACCAAGACTTATCAATACCTTTATTTATTACTGGCATTTAGTGCTTTCATAGATTATAAAAAATATTACTAATATTCTGAAAATTCATTAAACAAGGTCTTTTGTTTCTTTCAAGCACAGAATAGATGTAGAACTTGATCAAATATTAAAAATAAAATAAGGAACTTGGATAAAGAGGACAAAAGTGCAAAATGCAGAAAAAACATTAATGACCCTTTGGACATTCAGGATTGAAAGAATAAATGATAATGGCTTATGCTTATATAATGGTTACTTTATGGCAGGTACTGGTCTAAGTCTTAACATATTATAACTCATTTGCCCCTTATAAAGTAGGAACAGTACTATTTCCACCTTACAGGTGAAGAAACTGAGCACAGAGAAGTTATGAAAGTTTTCCAAAAGTCACAAATAGCTAATTACAAGCAGAGCTGCGATTCAACTGCAGGCAACCTTGCTCCAGAATCCTCCCCCTTAACCACTATATCATGCTGCCATCTTATTTTATCTAAAAAAATTAAAAAAATTGACACTTATTGAGTATTTACTATGTGCCAAGAACTTTATATATCTTTATTTCATCAGTGTAAAAAAGGAACAAAATATTAAGCATAATATTAGTGAGTGATTTATGGAAGATCAATACAAGGAGCTAAGAAGACAGATTGCATTAAAAAACGGCCTCAGTAATTTTGAACATAAGAACCAGAACAAGTTGAAGGTCTAGAGATCTTCCTGAGAAGTATTTGCTACTTTTGTCTGCAAAGATGATGCAAGCATAGCAATATATATGTACTTATATGTATAAATGTATGTCTGCAGTGTAACAGTGCTACTCTTTTTAAAAAAATATTTTTATTGATTTCAGAGAGAAAAGAAAAGGGAGAGAGAGATAGAAGCATCAATGATGTGAGAGAATTATTGATTAGCTGCCTCCTGCATTCCCCACACTGGGGATCGAGCCCACAACTTGGGCATGTGCCCTGACTGACCAGAAATTGAACCGTGACCTCCTGGTTCATAGGTCGATGCTCAACCACTGAGCCACGCTGGCTGGGCACAGTGGTATTCTTTAGTAGTGATGGCAGAGGGGGGTGTTAATGCTTTCAGGAATTGCTTCATTTGTCTGATCTATTCTAGACCAAAGACCAATAGTAGAGGCTTCAGGCAACTGAACTCAGAATTTGGCCTTACACATTCAGAATCATTTTCTCTCAGATTCTTGGGAAAGCCACTCGAACTCTAGGCATCTTGTGCAATTGAAAAAAAAACAAAACTTCCCAGGGTGAAATTTTGAGCTATGACAATTCACATGTATGTGTGAAGCTAGTGTTTACTTCTACATGGAAAAGAAGATAAAATTACATAATGTGATAGTGCTCAGGGGACTAGGTCTCCTGTGTCAATCCCCACACTGAGCTAGTGATGGAATGGGGTGATGTTTCCATCGTTTTTAATAGGGACCTTGAGAAGGCAGGCATGTGACAATACTCAGACTTCTTGCTGGAGAAGGCAAAGAAACAGGAGCTCTTAGTTCATTGTGGTGGCGAACAACCGGGGGCTTCTTCACATCTTGGTCAATAATAAAAGGCAAGAGGAATGTGCTATCTCTATACCAAAAATGTCCCATCTAATTTATTACCAGTCAGCAGCCATTAAGGTTCTCTAGGCTCTAGGAAAACACAACAGAGTTTTTACAGTGTGGGTAAGTGTGGTCCCTGTGCTTCTGGAGTTTGCACAGTATTGACAGTTTGGGGGCACACAGAATAAAAACAGGTTGAAATCTCTGCAAGTATATATGAAGGCATCCCTATGCAGGAGTTTGGTGAAATCAAACAAATGGTAAAGTTAGCATATGGTATAAGACCGTTACATTGTGTCCCACTGCGTTCAGCCCAAATGCAGGATCAGAAAAACAGAAATGGTTGTGGCAGAACCAGAGCTTCTCCTGTCC